GGGGGCGGCGGGCGGAGGGCGGAGGAGCGGGGAGCGGCGGCGGCGCGGGGGGCGGTGGGGAGCGATGGAGGTGCGGGGCCGGTGGAGGGGGGCGAGGAGGGAGGCGGCTCCCCCTGCGCCGAACGATGGTTTCTCCCGGAGCTGTCGATCATCCAGAGAAAGCCGTGATTTCAGCCCAAATCTTCCTCTCGGGGTTGAGTGAGCGCCGCGAAAGCCGGAGGGGGGGTGGAGAAAAGAAGGGGGAGCTCCCGGAGGGCCGGAGGGATGCCCCCGCCTCCGCCCTTCCCACCGCCCCGCTGCTCTGTCGGGGGCGGCACGGACCCGTCGGCCTCCGCCCCGCTGCGGTTGGGCTCCTCCGAGCTCAGCGCCGTCCCGAGCTTGGGGCGTCCCCGTGCTCGGCATCACCTCTAGCCGGGGCTGTGCCGGCCCGATCCTCTCCCCAAAGCGTCCCCGGGCCCAGAAAACGCGGCTGGTGTGGAGCATCCCTTGGGGGGCACAAAGAGGTCCGGCCGATGCCCGCAGAGAGACAACAAGAGTTGGTGGTAGGAGGCTCAGCTCGGCTCTGAACCACGGACCCTCTGGGCTTACCGACCCTGGTGAGCTGAGAGCAGGAATCCCTTCATTTCCAACTTACAGGAATTACTTACAAGTCCCCTTCGGACAAGATGGGGTCAAGTGGAATTCTCCACTCTAAGACCCAGCTCCTTCTCTCCATCATAACACCCGTTAACCTGTAGTTCCCCATCCCCGGGTAGAGCCCGGGATCCCAGCCTACCCACCAAGAGGTATGGAAGGCACGGGCTTGTCTCACCGTGCTCTTCCTCATCACCCTGCTGCACCAGCAGCTTGGACATTTGGAGTGCCCCAACCCCATGCAAGTAAACTCATTTTGTGTTTGGAGGAAGGTCAAGGCTCCCTGACAATGCTGGCCAAAACCAGATGACTTTCCTAACTCAGTGTGGCCAACCATAGGCTCCGATCCCCTCTGAGAGCTCCTACAGCTCCAGAGCATCCCCAAAGCTGTTTCTGCTGGTGAGTAGACCGCACAGATTTATTGTTTGACTGCAGCAGTAATTCTGAAGTTCGTACATTCTCCTTTGGAGATGGGTTTGTCCCTGAAGATGCTATTAGAGGCACTCGTGAACTGTGAGCGCTGCTCCCACCTCTTGTCCTCGCTCTGTCCCTAGGAAGGGCTTTGGATGGATCAGTGTCCCACCAGCCCTCAGCCCCTCTCCTGCATCCCGCAGGGGCTCAGCAGCCCAGACTGGACAAGTGAAAGCCATGCAATACCATCCCATGGTGTTGTCAGACTTCCCATGGTGTTCTTTCATTCCACCCCAAACCTATTTTAATGCCTCCATAAAGGACGGTCACAGACCACAGGAGCTGACGCTCTCCTTGCTGCCATCGGGTGTCACTTGGAACTGAGGAGAACTTAGGAGCAAGGTCAGTTGGTTCTACCCTGATTGCTGCACCCATGGGACGTTGAAATGCTGCTGCAGAGAGAAAGTCATGCCTGGGAAAAGCAGCAGCACCGGGGTTACAGAAATGGGGCAGCCACCACTTCAATCGCACGTGTTAGCTTCCTATCAAAAGATGGTTCCCAGGCCGACAAGAGCCACAAGAGATGGCATCTAGAGGACATTAAAGCGGGTTTGATGGTGACTCATTGCATGCAGCATTTACAGTTCCCAGTGCAGGAAGAACAGGTTGTATTTGCACATGAAGCCTTTGGCTCATCGCACCTGGAGGAGGTGGCTCTGTGTCAGACTGCAGGGTTAAAGAGGTGCAGTAGGAGGGAGGGAGACGTAGAGGGGAGGGCTGAGGCCACCTCCTCCCCACTGGGCAGGATGAGCATCGCCAGCACCACCTACACACTGCGATTTGGGCTGGATCTCCAGGATCCGGAGCTACTTCAACCAAAATACTCATAGGATCGTTAAGGTTGGAAAAGACCTCAGGATGGTGCAACCACCAGCCCAGCCCTACTGTAGGCTTGTCCACCAAGCCGTGTCCCTAAGAGAGAACGGGACATTAAATTGGGATGGGGAACGGGTTGCCCCGGTGGCACCTAGAGCCATAAATCTGCCTGCAGGCACCTGATGAGCGCCAGCAGAGAGACGCCCCGTGGGGAACAGGCACCTCACTGACGTCCCTGTGTGCAGCAGGAAAGCTCTCAGCTCCTGGCTGAATCCCTCGGGCTCCGTGCAGCTTCCAGGGGCAGGTTGGGAGGAGGGAAATGCCAGCATATTTGTACAGAAATTGGAGTCTCCCTGCAGCAGCAAATCCCATAAAAGCAAAACCCAAGTGAAAAGCAGCTTCAGCTGTTCTGGCTCTGGCTGTGATGGGCTTGGCCCCAGGCCAGTGAGTTAATTCTGCCTATTAACTAATAGTATAGTATTGTCGGCAAAGGCTCATTGCTAAACTTATGTTTTTAAGATATCACTTATCATTCAAACACTTAACTCTTGATCCTCGAACATGTACAGGCACCATGTAGCCCTGCAGCCATGCTGCAGATAACCAAAGGCACCGCTGGCTGGGGGGGGCAGGCTGTGTTTAACCCTTTTTCCCCTATCTGAATGATAAATGGTCTGAAGCAGCGCTGCCCAAAGGCGAGCAGCCACTGCTTTGCACCTGCTCTGTGTTCCCAATCAGGGATGCAGGAGCTGTTCCTGATAGCGCTCAGTGAAGGGTGCACGACCGCAGAGAGCCGATCTATGTGATCACAGCCTGATGCCAAGAATGGACCCCTCTGTCTTAGAATCACGTAATCATTAAAATTGGAAAGACCACTAAAATCATCTGGTCCAACCCCAACCCATGCCCACTGTCCCCCCTTGCCTCCCCCCCCGCCATCCCAAATGCTCTGCAGCCTGGCACAGAACCCAGCCTTGTCACATGAAGGCTGTGAGCAGCAAGGATGCCCTAGGCTACCAGGGCTGCCCTGACCCCATCCACTGACCTGCATGGTAAGGACACATTAAGCAGTGTGCTCCCTTCCAGCCCTGCTCCCAGAGTACATTTAGGGGATCGGGGGGGGGCTCCAGCCCCATCCAAGCAGAGCACTGGGTCCCCACCCCACTGGGGGCTTCTGAAGGAGCTCAAGCAAGATAAGGCTGTGAGTGTGCTCTGTGCAGATAGCTGGCGTTGGGTGCCTTGTGCTGAAATGTGACACTGTAAGCTGTTCTTGCTCAACCCGTTTGGCTTGTTGTGGGGTCCTAACGGAGGAAGCAGCTCCATTCAGCGCTCCTCCAGCATTTCTGAGCTCTGCTGTTAAATGATACCTGCACGCTCTGAGTTTGATGCTACCTGGGACCAGAAGTGGAGCTGATGAGAAGCAGAAAGGAGGAAGGCAAGAGGATGGCATGGGTGACCAGAGCATCATCCTGCACCGGGACCCCGGGGATGCACAGAGCTGTGGGATTTCATCTCTGCAGAGGGAAAAGTGTGGCTGCAGAGAGCAGTGAGTAAAAGGTACCTTGGTTTCTGTTGCTGTTGCCTTAGATTTTAGAGCCTTCGGCTAATTTAGGAAGCAGAAGTCAACTGGTAGATTGTGATAAAGATTTGAAGAGGGTTGCACGCCTAAAATGAATGGAACTTCTGAATGGTATCCATGGGAACAAATTAAAGAGAAGAGGCACTTTTGAAGCATTTAAAACAGATTTAGAAAGCTGGAATCGGGCAGGAAACTTTGGGTATTTTGCTCAACAGCTAATTTGACACCAAATTACAATGACAGGCAGAGCCAAGTCAACTTTAAACAAGATCCTGCAGAAATTACCTGATCATGGCTGCACTCTTGCTGTTGACAAAGGAATATTTGGAAAGATAAAGGTTGTAAAGTCATCTCCTTCAGGGCTGCAAATATGTCAAACCTTCCCCCCCAAAAAGGTTTACATAAAAGAGGAGGATCTTTTTAGAGATGCGTAACAGAGAAGGATGTAACCCTTGCTGTCTTATGGCAGGGCATCCACAGCCCAGAAGTCTTCTGGGAAAATCATTTTAAAGTTGCTCAAAGGAAGGCAGAAGAGCTGAAAAGTCAAACTCAGGTCTCTGGTTAATACTGTGAAATTACAGGGTGGCATCCTCGAAATTGAAAATGCTGAAATGGCATTTAATGGGAAACTGGGGAGAAAACGACCTGTTTTTTGTCATTGCTGGTGTTAAAAGCAGGAGTTTTGCAAATGCTTATGAACTCTATGAAAAAATGTAACAGGATGTGTTATGTTCAGGCACTCATGAGCAAAACCCTGAGATAGCGTAGGTTGACGAGAAAGCAAACATAGGATCAAAGACAACGGCGTGTTGTGAAATGGCTCTTTTCTGCTAAGAGGTGATTACTGTGAGAGGGCAGGAGCTGAAGGAGGAACCACATCTTCTTTCACGATGGAGGATGAAAAGGAAACAGCATGTCTGGGTTGTTCTGAAGAGGAGCACGCGAAGGGAGATGCGAGGACATGGAGCGAGGTGCGCGGCGTGCAGACAAAAGCCCTCCAAGGTCTGCAGACAAAAGGTCAGGAGTGAGCAGGAGCAATGCCACATGCTGTACAGCAAGCATATCTCATTGTCTCTTTGGCTGCGGGAATTTCCACTCTTTTTTTGGCTAAAATATGACTGAGCTGGAGCAAGCCATCATAGAATGAAGGCACAGCTTGGATTGGAAGGCACCTTAAAGCTGACCCAGTTCCAACCCCTTGCTATGGGCTGGGTGCCCCCCACTAGATCAGGCT